CTTCACTTTTTTGGTAGATTTACCGCGAGGGTAAGTCATATTATCCATTTAAATATGTGCTAATTTCCTTTCATCATGAAGCCCCCCCCCTCCCCCTTTAGGTCATGCATGTTGTATAGTTAACAAATGTCAACGGTCGCGCTTGAAGATAATGTTATTATTTTATGCTTGCTTATTCAAATTAAATTTGTCAAACAACAAATCTTCTTTTTTCAAAGTAACTAAAAGGAAATGAATTAATACAAAATATAGAAATAGGAATAAGACAAGCATTTCTTCGTTTATTACCTTAAGCGGTGGAATTGTTTATTAATACCTATGTGTTGAAAAGCATGATGGTCTTGAAGGTTCAATTGCTTTTGATGGATACGAACAAAAAGCGCAACAGATTCTACAAAAAGTGTTGAAAGGTGACGACGTTATAGCTTTAAGAAATGTCCTGCCTTAATTTTTTGTGAGGACACTCCTCTATCCGTGGCCAAGGACTTGCCTCTATCTATAATGAAAAGAATGAGGCGCGTTTGATTTGCTTGCTATCGAAACACTTTACTACAGGGAGTCAAGTTAAAGTATCTCATGCAGAAGACGATGCGGATACTCTCATCGTAAATGAAGCTCTCAGTCTGCCGAGAGGAACGAAGAAACAAGTTGATATCGTTGGTAGAGTACCTATATTGAGAGAGTATGGCCACTGGGCCCCATGGAGAGACTTTTAGGACCCAAAAATGGCGGTGCTTTGTTTTAGTTTTTGTGGATAGGAGGGGGGTCATTGCCAACTTTTGACGGTTTTCACCAACCGCACTTGCTGCCAACCTTACTACATCTAAGATAATTTTTCTCAAAAATTGCACACGATTAGCCTTATAAATATGTAAAGAATCGCAATAGTGCATTTGGGTAAATTTCTCGTTACGAATAGCAAAGAAAACTACAATTTGAGTCATTTTGCATCACATTAATTTATGGCGTCCGCCATTTTTGGGTCCTAAGGGCTCCATTCAGCCTAAGATAGAGTCCCTTTATACTGAGAGTCAAGACAATTCGGCTCATGGATGTCACAAACGGGAATAAAGTTACAGAAATTGAACGTTTTTCGTAATCTTTGATCGGCCCATTCTCAAATAATGCCTTTCTCCGTTCCTCCTCTCATTCCGTTTGTTCCTTGCCGAACCCGTAATTCCCTGGTCCATTCCAGATTATAATCTTTGCAATTGGTGAAAATGTAATCTTTATTCCCGTTTGTAACACTGTGGAGGCCTAAAATACGGGAACCAATCAGAAATAGATTCAAATTGTCTTGACTCTCAGTATAAAGGGACTCTAGCCTAAGATGGCTGAGCCAATCAGAGGTGGTAACACCGGTGGCCATACTCTCTCAATATAGGTACTCTAATCGTTGGTGAAGACATTGACCTCCTTATTCTAATGATAGCTTTGACGCCTGCATCAAGCGACGTCCTATTACTCAAACCAGGTAAGGGCAAATATGCAGCCCAAATTTTTAGCTCAAATCAATTGCGAACATCGAATGTAAATTTGAAGAAGAGCATTCTGTTTATCCATGTCATCAGTGGATGTGATACTACTTCAGCATTTCGTGGCAAGGGCAAAGGCAAATTTATTAAACTGTCGGAAAAATGTGGCGAAGTCTCTTGTATTGCTGAGAAATTTGATGAAACCGACTGCACTCAAGATGAGCTTTGTCAAGCGGGTGAGCAACTCGTTCTTTTGCTGTATGGTGATGAAAAATCAGTTACTGCTTCGAACAAATGCAGATTTCAATGTTTTAATCGTGCTTTGGCAAGGCAAAAACTGAGGTGAAACTGCAAACGTTGCCTCCAACTTCAGATGCGTGCAAACAACACTTCTTACGTGTATATTATCAAGTTCAACTCAGGAGAGGAAGAAAACGGAATCCCAAGGAAAGGGGGTGGAAATCTTCGGAACTCAGGCTTCTCCTTGTGCCTATGCTCAACCCGCCTGACCCCCCCCCCCCCCAACTTTTACAAATCATCTCATGTACATGTTCGAAAGGCTGTAGTAACCGCTGCTCTTGTAAGAGAGCTGGTCTGCCATGCAGTGACATTTGTCTACATTGTTCCGGCTTGGGATGCAGCAATCAAGCAGAAACACTGATCGAAGAGGAAGCAGAGGATGAATTTAAACTCCCTCTTTCTAAATTTTGTATTACTTCATTTCCTTTTAGTTACTTTGAAAAAAGAAGATTTGTTGTTTGACAAATTTAATTTGAATAAGCAAGCATAAAATAATAACATTATCTTCAAGCGCGACCGTTGACATTTGTTAACTATACAACATGCATGACCTAAAGGGGGAGGGGGGGGGGGTTCATGATGAAAGGAAATTAGCACATATTTAAATGGATAATATGACTTACCCTCGCGGTAAATCTACCAAAAAAGTGAAGCCGTTTCATCATGGACCGCAACAATGCATGGCGCGGCTAAGCCGAGCCTCACCGCGTAGTAGCCGCCGTTGGTTCGGACCGCATAGCGCTCCGGGGGCGGACCCCCTAGTGAATTCATAAGCATTTTTAGCATGGAAATTTCATGTTCTTTCATTCCGGTGAGAACACTTTTTTGCCTCAGACTCGCCGTTTTTAAGATAATTACAGATTTTGTTAAAAAAAACGTGATTTCTCGCAAGATTTAACTTTCCTAGCCGCAGGAAACTACCGCCATATCTCACGAACCAGAAGTCGCAACTTGATAAATGTATAGTGTTTCTAATAGGAAATTTTATGATCGTTTTAAAAGGTTTAGTGGCATTTTTCCGTAGGATCGATATTTTTCAAGATATAAGCTAAAAACCGGTCGCCGGCGGCGTATTTTGGCCCCCCGCCCCCCTTTTTTCAAGATGGCGGCCTTAGCGGACGGCCGATTTTGGTAAACTTTTGATATGTTGTTCTGGTAGCCTAATGCAACATGTTTCCGCAAAAAAACCTTCTATATATAGATTTTCCCAGAAAAATGCTAGATTGACTGGACTAGAGCGTAACATCGATATTAGAGATGAGTTCGGGATCGAGGAAATGGACATGTACATCTCACGTATGTACAATAGATATGAAGAGAGACTGGGCGGTCACCTCAATCCCGAAGCAATAGCGCTTTTGGATTGGGGCTCCGAGACCCGGAGGTTAAAAAGACGAAAACCACATGAGTTGAGCACGGCTCATTTCCGTCGGTGTTAGGCTCGTGCCTCTGGCCCTTACCAGTCTTAGTCGACTGACAGGGCGAAAGCATAGTTAGTAGGAAAATTCTCTAGAATCTAGTTCTAGGAATAATTATAGTCAATATTAATTAGTTTTTCTCCCGCTTTTTACAGGATTTTACCTCTATCTCATTTGTTCATCCTTCATTATCATTTTCATTAATTTAATCCATAAAGCGGTGTTTATTTCCATTTTGTTATTTTAGGCTTAAAGGAAAAGTAAAGACTCGTAAGGTCTAGTAATATAAGTTGTAATTCAATATGTGTAATTACAAAAATAAATAAATAAAAAAAAAAAAAAATGCAAAAAGGAACCACTAGCATTGCAATGTTGCTAAGATTGTGCAACTTCTTTTGTTTTGGAGGAGAAACCCGATTATCCCTTAATAGTTTCTATTTTACTCTCTAAAAACTGTAAATCTAAGACAAAAATTACCATCTAAACATAGTTTTTCACAATTTCCGCAATTTTATTGCAAAGGATGAAGTTGCACAATCTTAGCATCATTGCAATGCTAGGGGTTCTTTTTTGCAAAATGCAATACAGTTAATGCTTACTTGAATGTGCGATAACCAGAACTTCAGTACCATATTTGTTAATGACGTCAGTCTGCTTTTTGAAGAAGGTGTGGACTGTGTACCATCATGACTGAATACTTTTGCATCCTCTCGCTCTGTATCGACATTATTGCTTTCTGCCGTTACTCTTCCTTCGAAATCACCTTGAAAAAATTTCGAACGGCTGCCTTGACTTCATCCATAGGTTGGATCCACAAGGAGTTCTGATAATTCACGACAGTGCGCTTATCTTTGAAAGCCGTCGAGTTCGAGACATACTTTTGTCAATTTCAACCATTTTGCTTTGTTTAATAATTATTTATGAAATTATTAAAAATTGCAGGGATCCTTTGCAAATGAAAATTCGAATGTATTATAAGTTTATCCGTAAATCTAATTTAAATCGAGTAAGTAGTTTTATCCCAACAGTGCTGTCCCAAACAGTCAAAGTTTTTATTCCAGTTTATTTTCTAAATTTGCTACTCAGTTCTCTGAGAGAAGGAAGTGACGTTGATTTTAGTGAAAAAAATGGACGAGCATGTTGGTTTCAGTGAGAAAATCAGTCGATCATGCTAATTTTTTCTGAAGGAAAATGTCAAGCCTTTTTATTTTTGTGTGAAAGCGGGGTCTCTCTTACGCGTTTACCCTTCCTGAGAAAAGTTATTCGGAAAGTAAATTGAATGTTAACTTTTTCTATTATTTCAACCCCTGAAAGAAATCTGACTAGTAGTAAAGAGGACTCAAAGTTGAAAACCCGGTGTAGATTTTGCCTCATAAATTTTCAACAAGTGGAGATATTGATACGCGGTTTGCAAGGGAGACGCCCAAATTAAATCTGCTCTCGATCGACTGTAAAGTGTACGTATTATCTTAACTCTCACTATCAGTACGGAAAATGTGACGCGGTAGGATTTAAGCGAGATAAATATCCTCGGCGAAGCTTTTTTCTACCCTCCACGCAGAATTTCTTGGGGGGGGGGGGTCAGATGACACCATTGAAATTCTGAGGGGGGCCGCCCCCTCCCCCTTGAAGTGTACGCCTATGCTCCCCCATTCAAGTGACGTTGAGTTCAGAGCTCGGCTGTGAAGTGTGATAGGGTGTTCACTTGATGCATCTCTGAAACTGATATTTTGGCCACCAAGGCAGCCAAGGATATCATTCGAAGCTCTAGAGGAAATTTACTTAAAATCCCAGAAATAAAAAACGATTCATTTTATTTCATTCCTTTATTTCATGGTTGATAGTTATCGACGTCGTAAATAGATGAACAAGCATTTACAGTATTCACCATTCTTATGTCGCATTTCTGAGCTTTCTAGTTTGTTCAGTAGGTAATCCTTGACGGGAAAAATTCATCGCTATGGATTTGATAAGTATTCCCTCGGCCTTGTCTCTACGCGACGTTTAATGGGATTTGCCCCAAGTTCGAATCGCAGGATAGACACCTCTGGGCTTTCTCCCCGTTGAACATAACAACCAAATGTTCTTCTTCGCTCCAAGTTGCTCCCAGGACTCTACAAGAAGTAGTATTGACTAACTCAATATGTTTCCCACCTTTGCAAGCGAGATTTTTCTCTGGGACAACTCCCATGGAACGTCCCATGGAGAAAAGGCCCTCCGGCGGAATGTTATGTGAATGAGGACGAAGATGATCTCCAGTTTGAATTCGGCTTCAATACATCGTCGCCATCATAAATCATTACCGGGGTGTATCTCAGTATCACGCCTCTTGGTAATTAATGCATCGTACTGGAGGACTGCTGTCATAACCCACAGAATAACATCTTCGCGCACACTGGAAAAAGCAAGGAAAGTCAATGTTAAGTTAAAAGTGGATGAAATTAGGTAACCCAAAATTTGACAAAAATGTTTTTTTTTACCAAGTGACGACATCAATCGCCACTCAACAGCTATTACACCCCCTAAACTTCAGCCACAAGTGCTCAAGCCATTGCGCGAAGACCACTCTGGAATAGCAAGAACAAAACTTTTAGCTCTCTCTTGGGTGCAGTGGCTCTCACTAAATTCCTATAAAGAATCAGTAGTGAATAATTGCCAAAATTGTGTTCTTAATGTTCGCCCTCCCAAAGGTTTTTGTTCCTTGGCTCGAGGCCAATTTTTCCTTCAAATGGGTGCACATTTTGGGTGGATTTTTTTATCAATCCAAACAAATAAAATACCTCATAATTGCAGATGCTCACTCCAAGTGGTTAAACGTTTCACAGATGATTGAATGTAAAGCTGGCGACACTGTTTCAGTATTATTGTCAACTCTCTTACATTCGAGTATTCTCAAAATACCCAAGTAGCATGGATTGCAATTTCATTGCAATGGATTGTGAGTTGATTGCAATTTTTGCTTGTTGCCTATACGTTCATTTGAAGGCGCTTAAAAAAGTTGCAATTTTATTGCAATAAGTTTGCAAGAAATGTAGATTATGCTTGTTTTTCAAGGCACTATAAACACTGCAATTTCGGTGCAATCATGTTGTAACAAATTCACGCCATGTGCCTGGCATCCAATTCTCTAGTTGTTTTGAAGTTTTTTCGACTTAAATGTCTCACCTACCTAACCCATATAGCCCAACATATTTTGAAAATATTGTCACCTTTATCAAAATATTTTCATGGCAATATTGTAAGTAAAATATTTTCAAAATATTTTTAAAATATTTTAAAGGAATATTTTGAAAATGTTTACAAAAAATATTTTCAAAACAATTCAAAAATATTGCCTGTAAACATGCATGTTAAAAATATTCCTTAAGAAAGTTTTGAAAATATTTTAAAAATATTTTTTGAAAATATTTTTAAGTTCTCAAGTTAGTATGTGGTGTAATTTACACCGGTGTAAATTTAGTGTGAGTACCTATTACGTGATATCGAAAAAAAAAATCAGACAAAAAAAAATATGAAAAAAATAAATAACACGAAAAAAAATAAATAATAGGCAAAAGAAAGAAGCCTGAGAAAAACGGCGTTAATCAAATCTATGATGAATGTTGAGCCACGCACTGACGCAATGCATGCGATAACAGCCTTAACAGGCGTGATTTCAACTAAGCTCATCATTAGCTCAACGATCCTCCTTTTGATTCCACTGCACACTCTGAATTTTGTACAAAATTCAACATTCAAATCTATTTTACCCCTATTTACCACCCTAAATCAAACGGACTTGCAGAGCGTGCTATCCAAATAGCTAAAAAAAGGTTAGAATAAACCTAGCCTAACCTCAAAATTACCGACTTGTCCGTTCTCTTCCTGTATGTATCGGCAGCACTCTACCTGCGGTCACCTGGCTGGCCCAAAAACTCACATCTTCCCACCAATTTTCAGGCCACATAAAGTGTATATGCAACTGATGAAATTAGCTGACTTACTTGCTTGTCGAAAGACTGACGGTAAAGTTCACTCATATCCTCCCAACCTCCATGCGACCTAGAGCGGCTTCCAGCTCCGTAACGCAGGAAACATAACGTCTCCCGCTCGGACGAGTCATCTGAATCGCTCTTCGTTGCAGCATCTCTGCTGTGATCATTTGCTTTGGTCTTGTATACCTCCTCCTGCTCTCGGACAGCATTCTGACGTATTAGTTGTCTGTCAATAAAACATTATCAGTGGTCAAATAAGCGGGCACAAGTCAATCATTTCAGACTTGATATGTACGAGAGTGGATTTTAACGAAAGCTCACATATCGACGGTGAAAGTGCGTAATTAGTCCACAACCACGTCTCTCGATTTTTGAAGATTTTGAGTTAGCTGAAGAAATGCAATGCAGTAGTAGGTTGAGTAGGTATAGGTATGCGAGACTTGTAACGTGGTCCTCGAAGATATAACTTTAAATGGGAAATGTTCATTTTTTATTGGAATTATAAAAGTTCGTGCTTCATAAAGAGAAGCGTAAAAAGCGTCTCATATTTCAGTCAATCTTTCATATTGTCATAGAAATGCACATTCTTAGCAAAATGAACTTGCTTAGTAATGATTAATTTCTGCATTTCTGAAAACTGGAGAGAGCACAGAGTTAACAAGAATTTCCCCCGATTTTTTCAAATATATGGACCCACGAAAAACGAGCTCAAAGTTATGTATTTTGAGCCCATATTTAAATGTTCGTCGGCGGGTCACTGAAAATGGCCACCCGTCGGAGAATGGCCACACCCATTGAGATACCCACTGCAGCGTCTTACAGTCCTCACACGATGTCCCTCAGTCCATGGACGCGTTGTTAAAGTCAGAAGTGCAACCGCTGAGTTATCCGCTGAGTGGCTGAGCTCAGCCGAAGCGTTGTTGAACGTTTTCTGAGTTATCCGCTGAGGTAAGCAAAGGCCGCCATCGCTCAGCATGGTTCCCAGGGCGCTTACCAGTTTGCTGAGAAGATGGCGGCCTTTGTTTACTAACAAGTTTGCATCATCGCTAAGCGGATAACTGAGAGTTGCGGACTGACGTCATTTAGCTGACTTCAATTTCTAACTTTAACAACGTGTCTCATATCGACGGTGAAATTACCAAACCACGTATCTCGTTTGCGGTGTTTAAAAATCTACGCTCACATTTTATTTTTTGGAAATAGACCAAATCAATATCATTCCTTGAAATTTTCACAGAATTTTCTTCGCACGAAGAGGAAAAATCACAGAAATTCTCAAGACTCGCCATTACGTAGTTTTTCATTTAAAAAATAAAGTATGACAGGAAGTCTGCGACGTCGCAAACCGAGATACGTGGTTTGGTAGTTTCACCATCGATATGCGGTCTGTAGAACGCTGCAGAGTTAACTCAACGAGTGTGGCCATTCTCCGGCGGGCGTTCGCCGCTGCCATTTTTAGTGGCCTGCCGACGCGCGTCTAAATGGGAGCTCAACATACGTAACTCTGAGCCCGTTTTTCGTGGGTTAATATTGTACAAAAAAGAATCTGGAAAAACACCTGTGAACTCTGTGCATTTCTCTAGTTTTCAGAAATGCAGGAATTAAACATTACTAAACAAGCTTATTGTGGTCAGTCAGACTGACTGTAATGAATCAAGTGACCTAGATCACCGCCCCTCAAATATACGACAAATGTTTTTTACGCACATGTATTTTTAAATATTTTACGATCACTGAGATAATTCAAGGTCTAAAAGACCAAAACGGACGTATCACTTTCCCGTAGAGCCTTGATTAATTCGATGAAGTTCCATAAAGAATTTGTAGGTCTAACAGTTTCTCAGCACGCAATTATTTCTCCGCTATCATAATGCACAATTCTGAACTGGATCAATTATTGACGGCTGTCCACGTAAAAACTTCCCACCCAGATAGTATACAATATTCTGAGAATATTTGTACAACATCCACGATACTTGAACATTCATACTATATGAATATTCATGGAATATTTAATATAGCCACATAGCCTATGTTTTGAATATTCGTAGAATATTCGGTGTGGGGAAAGAGCAAGAAGCGGTAAAATCTCCGGTGTTTTTCCCCTCTCCTCCCCCCTCTCCCAAAGAAAATAAAAGTCTGAGACATTTCTTGAGAGGAACATCTCTCGCCCCTCCCCCCCTCTCAAAATGAAAATGCCCCCCCAAGTAAAACTTCCTACCAAAAAACGCTGATCCTCACTATGAGTCCTCTCCTTCATTCCTTCTCCCCCCGTAACTAAGAATTTAATTTTTTGTGTATGTATATCCCTCCTGCGCCAAAATAAAGATTAAAGCCGACCTGCACACACAGCAAGTGGGGATCTGCAAGTGACTGCAAGTGGCTCATCGGTTACATCGGTGAGCGTGCAAACTGCGCGGGCCGTCAGTTTGCACGATCAACACTCAACACAGCGGCACCGATGTGCCACTTGCAGGCTTTTGCAGGTCCCCACTTGCTGTGTGTGCAGTCGGCTGAAGAATTTGCATGCAGAGCTCGCGGCGGCAGCGTGGTCACGGTAACCGCCATCTCGAGCGTCGAGCGCCTTGATCAGCTGGTACAGCAACGCATTTTCGTGAACTTTCCATCTCTGTAGCTCACACATACATGCACAACTTTCCTGTTTCTCCCATACATATTAAAGTCGCTCCTACAACGCACTCTGGCGTTCTACGACACCCAAACGCCACAAGCGCATATCTTCCCAGAGGTTATCGGGCAACTGACAACGCAACATCTCTTCCGTCAATAACGCCCTGCCGCCACCCCTTCATTGGACGTCCTCGTCTTCTTTTCCCAGGTAGTATCCGATCCAAAACTTTTGGGCAACCTCTCTTTCGACATTCTTTGCACGTGTCCATACCACACCCACTGTCTGGAAATGACGTCGTGCACGTCACGATGTCACTTTTAACCTTCATCGCCTGGCGAATTCTTTCATTGTGGACACGGCCCCGTCTCGAGATGCCAGCAGATCGCCACCAAAAATCCATTTCGGTTGCCCTCGACGTTTCGTGCGTTCACTTCGGCAGAGACTACACTGCACTGCCATAGAGCACGATACTTTTCACAATACCCAAGTAGCATTTTGCAACGAAAAAATTGCAATTTAAATGAAATAAAATTTCCAGATGATTTCAACTTTCTTGCAAGAAAATTGCAATTATTTTACAACATCTGACCCCCTCATTGAAAAAAAGTTGCAATTTTTTTTTTTTTGCAAAGAAATTTCAATATTGACGACCTTTAAATTTCAACCCCTAAATTTTCCGGGGAAATTATAATAATTCGAACCCATGCTTACCTAATGTCCTACGACATTTAGCAGCATAAAATACCGGACGCCCTCGAGTGGGCTTGAACCCTACCCGCGAATGTCATAGCGGAGCACTCTTCCACTGAGCTACAGGGAGCTGATGATGAGTTGGGTTGAAATCACGCCTGTTAAGGCTGTCATCGCATGCATTGCGTCAGTGCGTGGCTCAACATTCATCATAGATTTGATTAACGCCGTTTTTCTCAGGCTTCTTTCTTTTGCCTATTATTTATTTTTTTTCGTGTTATTTATTTTTTTCATATTTTTTTTGTCTGATTTTTTTTTCGATATCACGTAATAGGTACTCACACTAAATTTACACCGGTGTAAATTACACCACATACTAACTTGAGAACTTAAAAATATTTTCAAAAAATATTTTTAAAATATTTTCAAAACTTTCTTAAGGAATATTTTTAACATGCATGTTTACAGGCAATATTTTTGAATTATTTTAAAAATATTTTTTGTAAACATTTTCAAAATATTCCTTTAAAATGTTTTAAAAATATTTTGAAAATATTTTAATTACAATATTGCCATGAAAATATTTTGATAAAGGTGACAATATTTTCAAAATATGTTGGGCTATATGGGTTAGGTGAGACATTTAAGTCGAAAAAACTTTAAAACAACTAGAGAATTGGATGCCAGGCACATGGCGTGAATTTGTTACAACATGATTGCACCGAAATTGCAGTCTTTATAGTGCCTTGAAAAAGAAGGTTAGGCAACAAGCATAATCTACATTTCTTGCAAACTTATTGCAATAAAATTGCAACTTTTTAAGCGCCTTCAAATGAACGTATAGGCAACAAGCAAAAATTGCAATCAACTCACAATCCATTGCAATGAAATTGCAATCCATGCTACTTGGGTAGCGTCATGTATCCGGTGCTTGTTTGTCTTTGAAATGATCCTATCCCAGAGTATCCCGATCAGCATTGCGATGGCTTTCCTGCCCTGGATGATCCTGTTCTTAATCGCCCGAGCCATTCTTCCATCCTGGTCTGATCGAACCCCAAAATACTTATTACACTCGTCACGCTCCTCGATCCGCCGCGCGCTGTCCATCCTCGAGCTCTACGAGTATGCCTTGCCGTTGCTACTCTGCTCAGACAACCAGCTTCTCCGTCTTTGACACACTACTAGCATCCAAGCCCCATTCCCTGTATCCTTCTACAAAGTTTTTGTTTTTCACGCTGCTAAATTGTAAGCTCTTATCCTTATGGAGGTACTTCATTTTATTCTCACCACGCGGAATGCCTGCACGGACACCTCTAAGCCCATCTGTTTCAATATTATATTAAAATTTATTCATTTTAAATCAAAATTTTTGCACAAAGGTGGAAATCTCACCAGGAAGCCGATAATATGAATTTGGTGGACATGGGCCATTCACTCCATCCGCTTTGGAATTGTTTAACAAGAACTTCTCTTTCCCAATATTTTCTTCCTCAAAGGATTTCACAGGCTGCAGTGGCTATAGATACTCTACGAATAGTCTTTTTTCCCCTTAAATATTCATAAAATACTCTATGAATATTTGTGTGTTATACAGGGCGGCCCAGACCTACCGTACCTGGCCTTTTTTCGGTTAATTTGGGTCATACGAAGTCCAGGATCGCGGGGATGAATAGGGAATCGACCCCGAGGAATCCGAATTTCATGGTCCCAGAGCCCCTCTAGCGCCCCTTGGGGAGTATAAGGGGGGTCCGTGCTTTAAAAGTCAGGGTTAATGTCAAAATTTTGAAATTATTTCATCGGGATCAGAACGTACGGAAAATTTTAGCTTAAATCGACACCAAGAAATCCAAACTCGGCCCACCCGTGTCCAAAATACCGACCCCTAAAGGCGGGGGACAGAGCCCCCTTTCCAAAAAATTCAAGTTCGTTAAATTGACGTGAAGACTCGGAAAAAGGTGTATTCATGAATAATCGACCCCAAGGAATGCGAATTTGAGGGTCCCGTTGTCACAGAGACTTTTCTGATGGGGCACAGGGGTAACCTCCACACCGGTTAAATTTGAAAGTTCAGAGTCCCCCTGTGCCCCATCAGAAAAGTCTCTGTGGACAACGGGACCCTCAAATTCGGATTCCTTTGGGTCGATTCCCTATTCAACCCCGCGATCCTGGACTTCGTATGACCCAAATTAACCGAAAAAAAGGCCTGGTACGGTAGGTATGGGCCACCCTGTATACAGGATGATCCAAAAGTCTCTTCCACCCCCTCTAACTTTTTACTTAATTGAGGTAAAGATTTGAAACTTGGGGGATAATCCTAGGTCAAAGGGAGCTACTTTTTGGCCCCCCTAAAATTTTCAAGGGGGCCCCCCTTAGGGGGGCAACGAACGGCCCCCAACTTTTAATTTTCAAATGGGAAGACCCCCTTTGCGATAGCTCGTTCGAAAGAGCATAAAAAAAGAAAACTTTTCGCGCAAAACCGAAGTCAATATCTCAAACCGTTTCAAAATGGCGGCCGGTTAAAGTTCAAAATGGCCGAAAATTCACACCGGTTATTTGTCGATGGATTTGCGTGAAAATCGGTGTGTTGGGGGTACTTTGACACGAAAAAGACGAATTCGATGTTTGATTTTCAAAAAAACCGAAATTTCCAAAACGGCCGCCGGTTAAAGTTCAAAACGACCAAAAGTTGATTTTTTTATAAATCTAAGTCCAAATTTGTTTATCTTATGCCAAAATACTCTCAAATTCCAAGTTTTAGGCAAATCCACCAGAAAAGAACCGAGGTAACAATTTTCGGCCATTTTAAACTTTAACCGGCGGCCATTTTGGAAATTTTGGTTTTTTTGAAAATCTGACGTCAAATTCGTTTTCTCGTGTCAAAATACCCCTACATACCGATTATCGCGCAAATCCATCGACAAATAACCGGTGTGAATTTTCGGCCATTTTGAACTTTAACCGGCCGCCATTTTGAAACGGTTTGAGATATTGACTTCGGGTTTGCGCGAAAAGTTTTCTTTTTTATGCTCTTTCGAACGAGCTATCACAAAGGGGGTCTTCCCATTTGAAAATTAAAGTTGGGGGCCGTTGCCCCCCTAAGGGGGGCCCCCTCGAAAATTTTAGGGGGGCCAAAAAGTAGCTCCCTTTGACCTAGGAATATCTCCCAAGTCTCAATTCTTTACCTCAATTAGGTAAAAAGTTAGATGGGGTGGAAGGGACTTTTGGATCACCCTGTATATGGGTATGCTGGCATCAAGTGAGAACAAAATCCGGTCACAGAGTGTCTGCTACGGATGTACCTACCTAGTTGTCATTTTTACCCGGCCAGGGATGACCCTGTTTAAGGAATAGTAGCCAGAAACCTTATTTGTGCAGTTTACCTTCAAGCTAATTAGTTTTAGAAAAAACGTCTTGCACTTGCCTCGCTTTTTTCTTCAATATTTCTTGTGCGTTGGGATAGTACTCAATCGCTTCATTCAGGTCATCCTTGCTCAAAACAAATAAATTTGAGAATCCGTGGGACCTGCAAAAGGAAAGTTACACGTAGGCAGATTTTTAAAATAATCACTAATTTTACCTGAAGGAACAATTGACAGAAACTGAATTCATCGCATCACCTTAAATTCTGAGATTCCTTTTGTCTTACATTTGCCCTCCATTTATTTTGTCTTAAAGTTTCAACAATGCTGTAACATAGTTTAAATGTTGATTATCAAAGAGGTTGATGCAAAAACGAAATTTTAACCCCCTCTGGAATTTCTTCAAACTTCGTCTATCAATTACTCATACTTGAGCGCTGCTTTTCCCAAATTTTCAGATCCCCAAGAAATTTCGGGAGTGGGGGGGGGGGGGGGGGTGGAAGTCAAAACATGTGAGCCTCGATATCTATCGAACGATAGAAGATATCAAACACCGGTTTGGACGAAAAATCTTCTAAAATTGTATACTTTAAGATTTTAATGGTCAGAATCCAAAAATCACATTTTCAAGTTAACTTTTTTTTTTTTAAAAAAAAACGAAAAAAAACTGACCCATTCAAAACGATCACATTTACGCAGGAACAGAGCCGGTAGAATAGATGGGGGTAAAATTAAGGCCGCTTTCTTCCGTTGCGGCAGTCTGTTGGACGCCGTATCGCATAAAAATGTCGGAAATTTCATAGAACATCAACAATAGACCCTTAGGCACAAATGACACACTATCTAGAATTTTAAAAGCATTTCCGAAATTTTTACGATTTTTTTAAAAACAAATTTCGGATATGCTTTCTAAATTCTGGAAAGTGTGCCATTTCATGCCTAAGGGTCTGAAGTTGATATTTTACTACATTTTCGAAATTTTCATGCGATACGGCGGCTGACAGACGGCCGCAAGGGAAAAGTGTGGCCTTTTGCCCCCACCTACCCTAAATTTTAGGATCTTTTGTAATTGTTCATAATATTAATAATATATTTAGTAAAATATGTGGTAATAGATTTAGTATTAGTAGGTAGTATTAGTTAATAGATTCAGTATTAGTGGTATTTTAGGGAAGGCCACATGCGGCCTCTTGCCCTATCGGATCTGCGGCTTTTTACCCCATTTGATGACTGAGGTAAACATAACCTCAAAATTCTTCTTCCTCCGTTGGTTTATTGGCTTTAACCTCAAAATTCAAAGTCAAGGCCATTGGCCCAAAAATGACTGTGGGATATTCAAACCATCCTTAGCATTGTTTGAACTATAGCTCATCCATTATCCATCCATTAGATCATTTTTCTATCGCCTACAGAACTTGAAATTGACCAAAATAAAACCGGAAGAATCGATTTTTTTTCCACGAAAAATTAACTCTCCACATACGCGTCCGTTCGATCCGAATCCTCGTCAACACAACACCATTACTACCAACATAACTGACATGGTCCTGGTGGCAACCTAAACAATCCCCGGAAAAAAAAAAAAAAACTGGGGTGCGGCCTTTTGCCCCCACCTATACCCTACGCTCGCTACGTCACAGTACATGACAAACCTGCTCTTTTAATAACTTACGATGCATTTCTCCATACCATAACGAATCGGCAGCCGCTATTCAACCGATGATTCTTTGACCAAAATGAATTTCAGAAACGGAATCTCTGGACGTTTAAATGGTTATAACCCTCATGAGATAAACAAAAACTGACGGGATCGACTCTACTTTTAAGGGAAATCACCGACGATGAGAGACTGTTAAACGTTAACAATAACGTCGCCCATCCCAAGATGGATTTGAGGTTAGGTATCTCCGCAATCAATAACAGCAAAATATAACACTTACGACGAAGTAAACTCACTAAAAGAAAAACTTAAAATAAAGTTAGTGTAATTTGTATACTCGTCTCTGATCGGATAATTCGCATACCTACTAGTACCAACTCGTTGGTTGGTGACTATCAAACTTGCGACTTCAGGGACTTCAGACTTGACTTGACGTTAAGCATTTCGTTCGTCAACTGTTGACGAAATTGATAAACAGTTTACGAAATACATCATCCAAAAAATCGTTCTCCGGTTTTGATTAAATGGGTGTAACCTAGCCTTTCTTGCCCAATCACCCGTAATAATAGGTTTGTTGCACCCAATTTTTTTAATTCATTTTCTGAAAGTGTGCATCGTTCTGAGCACAATGCATTTTTTCCATAATTTTTGGACCTCCCGAACATCCTTAAAAAGCTACTTAAAGTTCAACAATTTTTCGTGGGAAAATTTAGAACTAAGAATGGCGGAAGAGTAAAGCCGTCGTGTGACGTCACAATTTGTACTCTTATGTTTGTTTATTTTATGAATACGTGAATTTCCCCATAAGGAATAGAGGCAAATTTTCAAATGGAATTCTCGCACTGTTAAAGGCCGTACCTATTCATCAAATTTTCTTACTGTCGCGTCCGTAGACGGAATGAAAAAGAGGGTTCGGAGGACCGTGAAAAAGAGAAGGAGAAAACGAGAAAAAAAAAAATAACTAAAAAGAAAGAAAGAGGATCATCTCGGGGACAGAACCCAAGGCAACTAGGCGTACCGCGTACCTAGGCATCCCACCACGAGAAGAAGAAAGGAAAACACCGAAACGATGATATAGACAGGAGAGCAAACAACGAATAATAATAACTAAAGGGCAAAGAGGAAAATAAACTTCCCAGGGAAAACCGTCCTGGGGAAATGAGCTTCCCAGGGAAAACCGTTCTGGGGCAAATAGGGGAATGTGCGTCCCTAGGGTCTTCTCAGGGTATGTGCTTCCTGAGGAAAATGGAAATCATACCACGGAAAAACGTCGTGGCGAAAAGATACCTACAATGAGAAGTGACGTCGAGCGTACCGCGGGAGAGACGAGATCTGCTGCGCCGGCTGGAAGCTGAGTGCTGGCCCACTCGTCCACGGGCTGCGGTCCGGCCACCGCGAGGCATGGTTGCGCAGAAAAGCTGCGCCGATGTCGGCGCGCGCACTGCGAAAAGCTAAGGCGGCGCGGGTGACAACGCGGGAAGAGAGGAGAAGGTGGGCAGCGCGGTAGAAATAACGGGAGGAATGAACTGAAAAATATATCCACTAAAAATGACAAATAAAACTATCCTTTGGGTCTGAAAACCCAACACTTACGATAGTGAGCTCTTTATACTCTCTAGTCGATAAGAACATACCGACAAACTTACAAATCCCATCAGATGATTTAATTATTTTCGATGTATCCAAGCATGTCACGAAAGTGAGGTAATGTTTACATTCTTATCTGAGATACATATCAATCCTATTTCCATGGTAAAACTCTCATATACTTACCGTAGTTTTAATTTCTTCATTACCACAAATTATCTACCGTAGCATGATATAGCTTTCTGCATCTAATTTGTTGGATTTTGGATCCTTACATTCTACTTTTTTGCATAAAATGTGTCTCGCTTAGCTGCGCTAGCTGACTAGCTAAGGGATTACTATGAACCTATTTGAACATTTTTACTTGTTTAAATCTGTCTGCTCATGAGTAAACTAGTTAAAAAGACGATAAACTAAATATTAGGTAAGATTCTCCGCCAACCATGCACCATAGCTAAAAACTGTTGGTACTTGATCAGCACCGCCCGCCTAGTCGAGGAGTTACCTTCTCCGTTTAATCCAGTGCCTGTTGTGATGAATTTATGGGATTTTGATAATTACATAACACTAATTACCTACCTACCTATGCAAATAGTTTCGGTATACAAAAACTATACAGTTATGATATCGAGGGCAAATAGTTAAGTCAATTCCCATCATATTTCTAAAATTTCTAATGAAAAATAGCTGTCGCAGAAATAAGCGGGGTACGGACCTGGAATATCTGACTCATTCATCATATGTATTGACATACCTACTTGAATAGTCAGTCATCATTAAGAGTCAAATAATGGATGCAAACTTGGCTCTTCACAATATATCAAGTACATGCGACAAGTACACTGAACAAAAATGAGTATACATACAGGGTGTACCAAAAGTCCGTCCCACCCCTGCTAACTTTTGAACGAATTGAGCTAGGGTAATGAAACTTTGGGAATGTTCCTATCTCAAAGGGGACCATCTTTTGGAGGGGTCAAAATTTTGGTCCCCCCTCAGGGGGGGCGCGGGGGGCCCCCAACTTTTTTTTTTCAAATGGCAACCCCTATCTTGTGATACATCATTCAAAAGAGCATAAAAAACTAAGAATTTTGGCGCAAACCGCAGATCAATATCTTAATTTTTGACCGAGTTATGATAGGTCAAAGGTCAAATTTGACCTATTTTCAAAAAATCATAACTCCGGTTCAAATTATCGTAAAGAAAAAAATAAAACGGAAAAATTTACCAAATTGTGTCCGCTTTTAAGTAAAAATTGCAGAAATCACTTCGCTGTAATTTTAAGGGGGGGCTCGGACCCCCAAATACGTCAATTCAAAGGTCATTCAATTTTCCCGCGGAAAAAGGCAATTTCCCCTAGATTTGCCTCCACATTATCTCAGTAAGGTCAAAATTAGTTCAACATTACGTTGGCAAGTCCCCAAATTTCGGGAAAAGTTAAAAAAACGAAATTTAAGGAGATTAAATTTGACCGTTTAAATTTCGTTTTTTTAACTTTTCCCGAAATTTGGGGACTTGCCAACGTAATGTTGAACTAATTTTGACCTTACTGAGATAATGTGGAGGCAAATCTAGGGGAAATTGCCTTTTTCCGCGGGAAAATTGAATGACCTTTGAATTGACGTATTTGGGGGTCCGAGCCCCCCCTTAAAATTACAGCGAAGTGATTTCTGCAATTTTTACTTAAAAGCGGATACAATTTGGTAAATTTTTCCGTTTTATTTTTTTCTTTACGATAATTTGAACCGGAGTTATGATTTTTTGAAAATAGGTCAAATTTGACCTTTGACCTATCATAACTCGGTCAAAAATTAAGATATTGATCTGCGGTTTGCGCCAAAATTCTTAGTTTTTTATGCTCTTTTGAATGATGTATCACAAGATAGGGGTTGCCATTTGAAAAAAAAAAGTTGGGGGCCCCCCGCGCCCCCCCTGAGGGGGGACCAAAATTTTGAACCCCCCAAAAGATGGTTCCCTTTGAGATAGGAACATTCCCAAAGTTTCATTACCCTAGCTCAATTCGTTCAAAAGTTAGCAGGGGTGGGACGGACTTTTGGTACACCCTGTATAGTATATCAGCGAAAATCCCAAAAGGAGGACATAACCTCCCTTTCGTGACTTCCTTAGATATGTTGGGTTTTCATCTGATGCGATTTTAAAACACCTGTTGATGCAGTTGTAAATTGGAGGATACGAAGAACTGATAACTTCAACGAAATTAAATCATAAAATAAGTTGCAAATTGACGTAAAATCGTATTAGAATGACTGTAGATTCCTTATGGGGAGGCACACGTGAATTGACCCGGCGGGCAATAGCATAAAAGTTGTGACGTTGGCGAACCAATGTCACCAATGAGAGTCCTGCGTTTGAATTTCGAGCTTCTTTCAGCTTTTGCAGCTTTAATATCGAACTTGAATTGTTTATAAGTTCTTGTTTGATCTCATTCGGCTGAATCAAGCATTGCATGATTGGAAAAGGACATTTCATCACGAGATACGCATTTCTGCAATTAACGCGCTTTGAACCTGATCTTGGTCAAAAGATGAAAACTAGAGTTTATTCTTATTTTAACACTTGTTTAGAAGCTTTAGTTGATCCAATACGATAGATGAAGCATTATCTGACTCGATTGGCTCTAATACAACTGACTAGCTGTTGTGATGAACTGTCAGTTCATGATTGCATTGGGCCAGAGTAAATAATGGACAAAAACACCGAGCGTACCTAATAGGTACCTAAGAAGAAATGATAAAATAAAACAGAGAAGCCCGTATCGAGCATTGAACCCGGGTCCACATGAGTACATGGCGAGCACTGTAATTAGCAATTTGTCGCAGGCAATTAGTCAAATCAGGCATTTAGTCAAATGCCTAGGCAAATAGTCAAGAAATGTAAGAAACTAACGAAGTTTACTATTTGCCTAGGCATTTGACTAAATGCCTAGGCGCTTGATTAAATGCCTAGGCATTTTATTAAATGCCTGAGCATTTGACAAAATGCCGAGAGGTGATCAGGCACATAGTCAAATGAACGGACCGGGGCCAGAGAGTATTCTGACCGGGGCTGAGCGGAGTGCAATATACCATCCTCCATTCTTGCTAAATTAACGACTGAAGAAGATTTGGAAAACTTGCAGAACAAAGGGAATGAAGAAAGAAAACGCTCTAGGGATTCAAATGAGCCGGAACCATCGGATGCACCTGTAGAAAAAGCTGCTAGATTGGAAGATGACATAAATGATGTCCCTTGCTGTAACTGTCAGACAGGTGGTAAAACTGAACAGTGTTCGACATGTCCTAATGTCTGCCATGCACAATGTGGGCAAACTACCCTCGAAGACGGGCAAAAATCCCCTACCTTCCTTTGTAACTTATGCCAGAATGAAATAGTAATTCGTCAGACACGTTCTGAAACTCATGAAAGGCAAAAAGATGCAGCAGCTGGCATGGCAGAATCAAGTGAAAAACTGTTTGATGATTTACAAATAGAAGACAAAGTTATTTTAGCCGTCCCAAAAGTCGATAGAGGGCCTCTTGATCATCAGAATGTACAAGGTTTCGTAACAGATATTCGTAACGGAGTTTACCAAGTCGGAATTATTGGTGGAATCATAAAAAATTGGTGCGCCAGACCTGACTTTCGACGAATCGACTGTGTTGATTTCGACTTTTCACAAATTCCGCGAGAAAAATTCACATCGATCCGTGAGGTGGTTGCAGCCGGCTCTATGTTTGGCGGCCAAGGTGTTATGAAGTGTTCCTGTAAGTCAAGCAAAAAACAATGTGGTACTCGACGTTGTCTGTGCTTCAAGAACAACGTCAAATGCTCCTCAAGATGCCACCATCAGCTTAGTTGCTCCAACAAATGACTTCGGTGAGTAAATTGTTCGTATTAATTGCTAATTTGACTATTTGCCTGATTTTTAACGAGTTTCACTATTTGCCTGAAGGCCATACGGCATTTAGTCAAATGCCTAGGCTCTTTATCAAATGCCTAGGCACTTTATCAACTGCCTAGGCGAATAGCCAAAGTGGGTTTTCGGTAAAATGTGACTATTTGCCTAGGCATTTGACTAAATGCCTGATTTGACTAATTGCCTGTGATATATATATATATGTATATATATTTGTATATATATATATATATATATACATATACAAGGAATAATATACATGCAACATCGGCAATGATAAATTATATCAGAAGGTTAGACTGATAATGAAAACTAGAAATTAAATATTACCGAACGTCTGCTGTGCGGCGATTGGTGCCTGCCAGGGCCAATAGACTTATTTCACCAAAAACTGAACCCTCAGTCAATGTTGCCAGAACCTCCTCTTCTCCCGTTACTACTTGTACTTGTCCAGTCTTCACGATGTACATCTCTTTGCCGACCTCTCCCTAAAATCATTCAATGAGAATTTCACCGGCGTGAGTAGGTATACCATGTGTCTTGAGACCTTCGCTTAAAATCAGAAAGTTATGCAGGTCTGGGTCTTTCGCGTAGCTCCAGCATTTTTTATAGATCCCAAGTTGCATTTTGCAACGAAAAAGATGCAACTTGTTCCCAAGAAACTTGCGCAATTCCATTTCTATCTTCCTGCGACCGTGGGCCAAATCTTCGCAATCCGATTGTAAAAAATATCATTTTCCTTGGTGAAAAATTGGAATAAAAAATTAAAGAGTACCTACTGTACCCAGTGACCACAACAGCTCATTTTCGAGTTGCCTCGGGCAGCTTCCTCATGAATCAATAGGCCACTTTAGTAGTAGAAAAGTTCAATAATTGTTTTGGTTTTTGACGGACAAAGGATAAACCCCCATTCCTAAAACTTCCTGGTAAGATTATGCTGACCATATTAGCGTATGATGCTCCCTTTTTTTTGCCATATCACCTTCATGACTAATACTTAAATGTAATTCCCAGCGCTTAGGTTGTATTAAATCGTAAAAAAACACTGCTTAGAAAGTATCCTATATATTAAAATGCATAGTTCCGAATCTTGGGGCATTAACTTTGAGAGAACCACCGGACCGATTTCTGAGCTGTAGATTTGCAGGCTGTGGTCGTTTTTTCGATTTTCTCAAATTGTCTTACTTTTATCGACGAGTGAAGTTTAGCTGGGCTCAAATTTTCTCCCATTTATTCAGACTAAAGTCCGCATTCTGGGACAATAACTTTGAGAGAATCACCGGATCGATTTGCGTGATCTTTTTTTTAAATGAAAGCCCCTGAGCTGTAGATTTGCAGGCTGTGATCGTTTTTTCGATTTTCTCAAATTTTCTCCCATAATTTTCTCAAATTTTCTTCGATGGATTAAAACGGAGGTCCGAATCTTGGGGCATTAACTTTGAGAGAACCACCGGACCGATTTGCGTGATCTTTTTTTTAAATGAAAGCCCCTGAGCTGTAGATTTGCAGGCTGTGATCGTTTTTTCGATTTTCTCAAATTGTCTTACTTTTATCGACGAGTGAAGTTTAGCTGGGCTCAAATTTTCTCCCATTTATTCAGACTAAAGTCCGCATTTTGGGACATTAACTTTGAGAGAACCACCGGACCGATTTGCATGGGGTTTTTTTTTTTTAAATGAAAGCTTCTGATCTGTAGATTTGCAGGCTGTACCTAATTGTTTTTTCGATTTTCTTAAATTTTCTTACTTTTATCGACGAGTAAAGTTCAGCTGTTTTGAGCGGTCATCTGGTCGCTACCTGCTTGCCCGTCCCTAGATATCCCCCCTAGGATCTCAGCCACCCCTCTTACCACGTTCTTTCGGCTATCTCCGTTTTCTTTCGTATAGCTTTTCTCCCACCAACCTCAAGAAAGGTTTGGGTCGCATTGTCGTTCGTCACTCACCACCCACATTCCGTCGCAATCTCTCGGCTACTTCGCTTCACCACTTCTTGATAGGCATCCTGGCGGTTTGACTGACCCTGACTTATTAACTGCAGCGGTGCGCACACGTATTGCTAACAACATGTATTGTTATGGACATTTCATTCTTATTTGTTCTTTTCTCTTTCCAACTTTGTTTCAAATTTGCTTGATACTTCGTTTCTTCCTCTCTCTTTATTTTGTTGGTCGGTCGACTACGTTGATCGGCTTTTTGCTATTGAAAGCACATTAAGACTTCATGGATTTTCAATATCATCATTTGATCTTCCGGAATTGCTTCCAATTAACCTGAATCTTCAAGGGTCGGAGCCTGCCTCTCCTCCCCCTAAAACTATGATTCCATGATTTCTGCCGCTAACCCAGAGCAACATCAAATTATTTCTGAAATAATTAGTCTCATCCAAAATCCATCTTACACGTGTAATGCGATTTTCATTGATGGTCCAGGAGGATCGGGAAAAACTTTCGTTTAAGAATGTCTTACTGCATTGTACGAAGGAAAACTTAGACGTCATCTCCGTTGCTTGGACAAGTATCGTCGCACCGTTGCTACCTAACGGTAGGCCGGCTCATAGCAAATTCAAAATTCCTTCGGTTCTGAATGAGAATTCTGTGTCGAGTCTGACGGTTAGCTCAAGAGAGGCTGAGACCATTCGGAAAACAACGATCATTTTTTGGGGTGAAGCTCCCATGGTTATCACGCATGCTCTGGCGTGCATCGACCGACTTCTTAGAGAATGGGTAATGATATCCCTTTTCGAGGAAAAATTGTCGTCTAGGGTGGTGATTTTAGACAGGTTTTACCCGTTGTCCCGCATGCTTCTCGCCAAACATTGGTGAAAAATGCAATCAAATTCTCACCACTTTGACCTCTTTTCAAAATCAGAAAACTTACTCAAAATATGAGAACTTTGCAAGACGAAGCGGAGTTTGCAAAATTTTAACTCGAAATAGGTGATGGTGTTTACCTTTCTGCTAAAAAAGGCCATGCCGGAATTCGTTGATTTACCGACAAGCAGTATTACTGAAACTGATATTATTACTGAAATTTATGGAAAAGGTAGCTTCCTCGTGTTCGAACGTAGATTTCACAAACTGCGCAATTCTGGCCCCTAAAAATAAGCATTGCAATGAAATTAACGACAAGGTTGTTGAAGTTCTTTCAGGTGTCTCTAAAACGTACTTCAGTGTTAACAGGCTCATTGTAGAGGAAGAGGGAGAGGCTCTCAATTTCCCCCTCGAATTCTTGGACAGTCTTAATCTTAGTGGCTTACCACCGCATAAACTCACACTTTTGGAGGGGGTTTTTGTCATGCTTTTAAGAAACCTCAACGTTTCTAAAGGTTTATCGAATGGTACCCGATTGATCGTCTGGAAACGTTATGAAAATTGTCTTGATTTGCAGGTCATTTCCGGCGAGAAGGCCGGTGAAAGAATTTCACTGCCAAGAATTGATTTGTCACCTGCAGACTCCTCTCTCCCTTTCTCTTTTAAGAGGCGACAATTTCCAATTCGCATTGCGTTCTGCATGACCATCATCAAAGCTAAGGGTCAAACGCTGAAGCGAGTCGATATTTATTTACCCCAAACAGTTTTTGGCCATGGTCAACTATATGTTGCACTCTCACGAGCTACATCGTACAAAAATTTTGAAGTCCAAATTCTTCCCAAAGGCAACCGTACAAAAAACATCGTGCACAAAGAGGTGCTTCGATCTTTTATGAATCCCAAAAGCCTCATAGTCATTAGAAAATTATCAAAAAATAAAAATAAAAAAAAATTTAAACAGTAACAAAAAAAAAAAAGAAAAATTAATACTTAATGCGAGCTTTTTATAACATTTTTCGGTAGAATGGCAGTCTCCACCCTGTAACGCAGAGAGGCAGTTAAATTCCTTGATCTTCTGCCGCAGAATCATCATCATTATTAAATAGATTCAACTAATCGCTCCGATTCCAAATAAGCTACTGCACCACCATTGCTAGCTGTGGAGGGCGCCCGGAGCAGCTAGTAATTAGTATTCATCGACGAGATACATGATCCATCGACGTTAAGAAGTTCAAATTAATCGGCGAACGTTTGTTATCCGCAATTGTGACACAGAGGACACCAATTATCGAAAAGCAATGACAAGGTTTCGACATTTTCATTTCCCTGGTAAAAATGAGCGTAAGAAGCCGAAAAAAGTACACACACCAAAAAAAAAAAAATTGTGCATATGTGCCCGCACATATGGCTAGCATATGGCAAACTGAAATCAAAATCACATTATGGTAGTCATACGTTAGCTATATGTTAACCGTGCCCCAGCTATGTGTCAACCGTATGCGCTGAAACCTTCTGTTAGGCATGTGCTAACTATATGTGGGTAATTCTCTGTTAGGTATTTCTACTATTTCTCTCACACGGGCTTTTCTGGCGCACACATCAATCAACAGAGTCCAAGTATACAATTATTTTTGATGCAGAATAACTTTTTGCGTCAGACGCATACTCTGAAAACGCCATAGAACAAATACTAAACCTCTACCTAACAGGCAGAGAAGGGCAGAAAATCTCAACTCTGTCCGCGTCACACAACTGAGGTTCCGCAACTCAAACGGCTGTAGGATGCTGGAAACCGAAGCTAACCTACTTAAACTTGACATTTTTAGAATGTATGGACCTTCTACTTTCTATTTCTTTAGTCTATCTTAAGAATACTGACAATGTACCCGTCATGAGATGAGGCAGAAGGCTTATCACAAGGTTTTCATCTCAACTCAGTCCTCCTACTTTTTGCCTCATATAGGAGCCACCAGGGGCGCTGTTTGTAAAAAACAAGTAGTTGTTGTTATTCAGAATGATCATTTTACCACACCTAACATGTGCAATCGCTGTGATAACCGACAAGAACGTGTTTAGGTATTATTTTTTAAGTGTGGACGTTAAAATCATCCTGAACCAACTCAACTCAGTTCCTGCATTATTATAAGGAAAGCTTCAACCAAATTCAACTATCTATACTGTAAGCTCCAAGATCTCCTTAAGCATATCTTGTAACGCTTGGTTCCAGTGTTGTACCGAGCCAATTTTCATGATTTTTGCGGCTATCGGCGAGCAATTGTCTCTCGATGAGCCCGCTCTATTCAGATTTTGAAAGTATGACCCAGGTTTTTTTATATTGCGTGGTAAAGTTGCGAATTCTCCCATTTAAACAATATAAATTTTTATTTTTTGTCATAGTTCGTTCGAGCGTTCTACTAGGCCGATTTTCATGATTTTTTCGGTTATCGACAGGTAATAGGCCCTAGAATAAGATTTTGGAAATAGGACCCAGGTTTTTTCTATATAAGGACTAGCCGCTGTGGCTCGCTTCGCTCGCCTCGCGTCTAGCCGGGGGCTCCGCCCCCTGGACCCCCGCTCACTCGCTTCGCGAGTGACTTACGGCTCGCAAGCGAGCCGTATTCCGTGCCGTAAATGCAAAAAGATGATAAAGTAACGTAATCCAATTAGAACTCTTCTGAATACATGAATACGAGAGGCATTCCTTCCTAAATTAGTTTACCTGTTTTCAGTACCGTAATGATCTTCCTTGTAAATTTTATTAGGTATAATCTGGCGGTGAAGATCGATTCATCCAGAATAGATGATAGATAGACATTCTAAATTAAGGGGGAAAGTGCTGCATCTTTTAATCTGGAAATATTGAACCACATTGATTCTACTGAGAAACTAATTCTTGAATTCCTCGGAACATTTCATCCCACAAAAATCTGAAAAAGAAGTATTCTCCCGCCGAAAATCTGCTGCAAATAGCCAAAATTTCAGTTTTGGCTCCTAGTTTTAAATGCCCATGGATTTTCCCGCCAATGGTGCTCACAAAACTACACGCTCTTCCGCCGATGTTAGCGATCTGGACTAATCTGTGCCCGTTTCCTTTCCTTTCCCACCCAATTCCCTTTTAAACACTCTCTCCATCACATCTATGTCTCTCTATAGGGTGGCCTATAGACCTACCGTACCAGGCCTTTTTTTCGGTTAATTTGGGTCATACGAAGTCCAGAATCGCGGGGATGAATAGGGAATCGACCCCAAGGAATCCGAATTTTATGGTCTCAGAGCCCCTCTGGCGTCCCTTGGGGGGTAAAAGGGGGGTCCATACTTCAAAAGTCAGGGTTAATGTCAAAATTTTGAAATTATTTCATCGGAATCAAAACGTACGGAAAATTTTAGCTTAGATCGACACCAAGAAATCCAAAATCGGCCCATCCGTGTCCAAAATACCGACCCCTAAAGGCGGGGGACAGAGCCCCCTTTCAAAAAAATTCAAGTTTGTTAAATTGACGTGGAGACTCGAAAAAAATGTGTATTCGTGGGTAATCGACCCCAAGGAATCCGAATTTGAGGGTCCCGTTGTCCACAGAGACTTTTCTGATGGGGCACAGGGGTAACCTCCACACCGGTTAAATTTGAAAGTTCAGAGTCCCCCTGTGCCCCATCAGAAAAGTCTCTGTAGACAACGGGTTCCTCAAATTCGGATTCCTTGGGGTCGATTACCCATGAATACACATTTTTTCCGAGTCTCCACGTCAATTTAACAAACTTGAATTTTTTTGAAAGGGGGCTCTGTCCCCCGCCTTTAGGGGTCGGTATTTTGGACACGGATGGGCCGATTTTGGATTTCTTGGTGTCGATCTAAGCTAAAATTTTCCGTACGTTTTGATTCCGATGAAATAATTTCAAAATTTTGACATTAACCCTGACTTTTGAAGTATGGACCCCCCTTTTACCCCCCAAGGGACGCCAGAGGGGCTCTGAGACCATAAAATTCGGATTCCTTGGGGTCGATTCCCTATTCATCCCCGCGATCCTGGACTTCGTATGACCCAAATTAACCGAAAAAAGGCCTGGTACGGTAGGTCTATGGGCCACCCTGTATATCACACCCATGATCTCTCAACTCAGTCCCCATTTTACTATGGCTTGGTTTTGAAAGAAATTTGAGTTCCCCTAGCACCAAAACAGATGTTTTACAACTTAATCGATGTAACATCTTAAAAAAAAATGAATGTATTCTGTACAAAAATGCACCAGGGAAATAAAGAAACTATAGCAGGAAGAAATTTTGATATATTTCAGTTTTTCCTCCGAAAATCTGCCCTTTCCTCGAGATAATTACTCTCCTGACAATTTTAAGGCTTTTTAAAAAATGAAAATTCATTGTATTTACATCTTATTTCCATGGAGTTCGAAAAAATTTGGGAGGACAATTATACCTATAAAATAAAGGCAAAAAAGCAGAGGGACTGAGTTGAAATTTTATCCGGGTTCTTGATTTCTGCCTGCTTGGCGGAAGACTGAAACTCTGTTTCTTGTGGAAACAATTATTAATTCCGAGTGTAAAATTACGTGAAGTCTTAGAAAAACATATCTGCCAAGGCGTCTCTGAGAGTTCATTTTTCGAAAATTTTGGACTAAAATACAGTGGACTCTCGATAATTCGAAATTGAAGGGAATCGGCTTTTTCTTCGAATTAGCGAGGTTTCGAAATAAAGAGAGTTTGAATTAAAGAGATTCATGCTGAGAAATTTCGAATTAGAGAGGTTCGAATGTAGAGAGGCAAATGGACGGATTTACGTCAAAAGGAACCAAAAATATCAGTTTATTTCTTTACGGAGGTAAAAATTACACTAAGTTATTATTAAGTATTAATTATTTATATTTAATTTTAAAATTATTAATTACATGTTTACATTTTGACAATCCTATCAGCTCTTTCAGACACCCAGGTACATAAACAGTTGACTTCGAATTGTAGAGGGAAGGTACCGTCTTATTTCGAATTATAGAGGGGGGACCATATTTACTTCCCAAAATTCGAATTACAGAGAGAATTTACGTTGCAATTTCGAATTATAGAGGGCCGCGCCAGCTTAAAAATTTCGAAATAACGAGGGGAGAAAAATACATTGACTTCTTTCGAAGTATCGAGAGATTTTCAAGGGAAACGGACTTTCTTTCGAATTAACGAGGTTTTCGAATTATCGAGAGTCCACTGTAGTAAAAATAGTAGAGTTAGCAGAGAATTGCCCTAGAAGATAAACCTGGAAAGTACCTACTTCATCCTTGACACTTTTAAAATATTCTGATCAAATCTCACCCCTTTTCAAACAGGTTTATCTCCAAATTTTACTTATTTTTTCATTGTCTTTTTATTTGGGCCTTTAGAGACAGGTGAAGCATAGATCTTTGGTATAGTGAATTGATCGGAAGAAGCGATCATGCTTAGGTACGCGCTGAATCGCTGAAATAACTGTGACATTACGAACCCTTTGAGAAAGCATGTCTGTTTACCGCGGTACATTTTTCAATACGAAGATATAGGTATATCTAATATGGACTTGTTGATGATCAATGTGATTTTTACGAAAATGGTCGACTCAGTATATGAAATTTTCTGCTCAAACTGTACTAAAACCATTTCTTCAATAAAATTCAATTTCTGGACTAACTGCTCTCCTCGGTAATCCGATATAGCTTCTCGCCAGTACCTTTCTCAACCCAACAATACTCTCGCGTCCTCAGGCTTTATCCTCTCTTGGCAAACCAGGATCCACCTAAAGCGTTGTGGTGGCAGGAACACAATAATGGCAAATTTTTTGTTAGTTTTGATAAATAATACACTTTCTTTTTACTTCGCCTTCCGCATAAATATTCAGAATACCAAAAATTGTTCTACTTTGCGAAAAACTGATTTTTTTTTTTTTTTTTTTTTTTTTTTAAATATATCATTTTTGCATACTTACTAAGGCTTGGGAGAAACAAATGATCAAATCACCCAACTCTTAGGTAGAAAATCTGTAATACCTAAACCTGATTCCGAGATTGGTGCCCTGCTCCTTCCAAAAGCCTCCGAGACTAAATTATTATTGCAGGAGGAAAAAGCAATTATCTGAATTAATTTTGTATCTTACCTTCCTGCAGATGTAGTCTCCTGGTAAATATAAAACAGGTCTCAGCTTAAGCACAAGCTCTCTCAGTAAAGCTTCATCGCAGTCATGGAAGAGTTGAACTTTGCTCAAAGTCTGGATGTGAACGTTAATTGCCACATCAGTTTTCATTTTGTGCGGTAACGTATCCAGTATTCGGCCTTCATCTATACCAAAGAGGAAATATGCATGGAGGATATTTGCATGGAATATAATGTGAGTAAGTAGGTAGGTAGGTACTGCATCAAAATTCCGGATCGAATCATTGAACAGTTTTTGCCGTCCGCGTTCCTATTCTTGTAAGCATCCTACACATTACTGACAGACTTATAATTTTTGGCCAGAGTGTTGCCGCAAAATTTCCGTAAGATTCAATAGAGTCGCAATGTCCGAGACCCAAGTAGCATTTCTGAACGGAAAAATCGCTATATCTTGCGATTTCATCGGCGATGAAATCGCCAGGATAATCAACATCTAAGCGATTATCCTCGATCTCCTCGGAATAAATCGCGATTTTATCGCCCGGCAATTTATCGCGATATCTTCGAAATAAAACTCGCGATAAATGGAATTTAATCTCGATTTTATTGACGAAACTTGAGCGCGATTTTATCGAGCCAAAAATTTCGATGTGTAGCGATTTAATCGCCATTTATCGCAATTTTTTATGCGATAATATCTCGATATATTGCAACCGATATAATTGCGATAACCAACCGATATAAAATCGCTATTTATCGCGATCACTGCTACGTGGGGAGCGCGGATGAATTAAGCACACACACAATACCTAAGCCAAGCTTGTAAATTTCACCTACAAAATACCAAAAATGCGTTTCGTGAAACAAAATTGCAGTTTTTCAAAGTCGTGCGTATTTTTAAAAGTTAGAAGTTTTTGAAAAGTTGTTTTCACGTCATTACTCCAAAATGAGAGTACTGGCTTGACCAACCAGTAATCGGCAACTGTAGTCGAATCTCATGGCGCAAAGGATATTTGAGGCATTTTTGCTCACCCTTCTACCCATATAAATTAGCGATAGGTGTGAATTTTTACCTAACAGATGAGGAAAACAGTTTTAAAATCTTTAATTTTTTCAAACGATTCTTACGATTCATCATCTATTTTAAGGATTCGGTAGCCGTCAAGAATTAAATGGATACCTGCACATCCGTAGGTAGTAACCTACTAACTCTCATCCCTTGCGGAGAGAAAAGTCATTCACGCATGAAAAAAATGACACTTTTCGAAAAGGTATACCTACTTAGACCTTTTCCCCCAACCTACCCTCCGTACCGACGTGCGCAACAGACACGACTCTGCATTTGTACGGTAAGTATATTCAGTGATGTTTTTCTTACGATAAAATCCTTGGATGACAAATAAATTACGTTAATTTAAATTAAACGTGATTAATTTAATGTAAGTAAATAGATTCTGTAACAAATTGGACCTAGGGTGCGTTGTTGTTCCCAGGTGAAGGAGAACCATTGCTTGACCCTCTCTCTGACTCGCGGTGGAACGTTGAGCCGGCGTAAATAAGCTAAAGTTTCGTCTTGAAGCTTTCTATACTCCGTTTGGGAGCGGGTTGCTGTGGCTATAATGTCTCGTATCTGCAATCCAGATTAAACAGACTCTTGTGAAAAATAGAGGTACTTACCTATCTAGGTATATATTAATTCTTTTAAAGGAAAAAAATAAAAGTTGTTCCTGCGACAAAGAAGTAGTCATGCGACAAACAGAGTTCAAGAGATACAATCTTTTTGAGGAAATGAGCTTTCCCAGTACCTAATTTTTAATATAATTTCTTGCATCTAAAAAATAATTTTTTTAGCGCTTTACATGCATTTTTCTTGAACAGTATCTGTGGAACGCCGTTGCGGATCAAACCTAAAACGCGCGGCGCGAAACACAGAAAATGAGTGCGGCACAGAAAAGTACCAATCTGAAAGTCATTACTGAATTACTGCATTACTGAATACTAGGGGGCCCTGCCCCCTGACCGCTACGCGGCCCAACCCCCGGGAGGGCGCCTCGTGCCCTCGGGCCCGCTTCGCGGGCCTTATACGCATATGCATGGGCAAAAATGTTCTTCCATTTTAATACACCATTTTGTGTTCGAGCTGCATCGATTTCAAAATTGTTGACGTAACACTCAGATTTGTAAATGATGAGGAATAGCTGGATGTACATAATTTCACAGTCCATTTACTGGAGAAATTTCCATTTTTTATGTTATTTTTAAGTAAATACTTAATTTAAAAAAAAAAAAATCAAATTTCGACCATTAAGAGTTAATAATATTTGGTCCGTTCCGACGCGACGCAGCGCCTGCCTTCTCACTTTGTACCTGCTGTTTATCTACTTACTGTAAATATTAATAGAAATTCAGCAATCAAGTAAATTGACCAATGCCACAAATCGAAGCCGGAAGACTGAGGAAAAATTGAGTAAAAACCTTATACCTTGGACCTTGAACCTTGAACCCTGAGCGATGCACCGTTCCTCAACTCTTCGAATGAGGAGCCCTTCACGAGCTTTTCCATTGTTTTATTGTTTATTCGAGTCACTCAGGTAGAATCCCACACCTTGACGTTCCTAGCGGAAACGACATATCTCTCACGCTATTAACAGTGGACTTAAGTGACATGAGCTTTAAAAGCTCTACAACATTAGAAGTTCGGGGTTTCATGATATTTTGCACATCTACATGTACTACAGATGACATATATGTAAAAATCATCCTTATCGGTCCGGCAGTTCGTCAGAAATAGTGCTTCCAAAATTTTGCTTGTAGCTGTATAATATAGATTTCAGTGCTTCGCCGACAATGCTGTGTGCTACGAGAAATTTCGATATTATTTGAACTATCACGCGCATTTCACGGGAATATCCCCAAATACTGCGTCTTGCACCGAACCTCAGTAGATCGGAATTCTGCTCGTTACCGTGCGACGCACAATCTTTTTACTTCTCTTTTTTCAAATTATGAAACCGTTTAACCGTTGGAGGGGAATAACGGCTCTGATTGCCAAAGCTACGCCCGTAAAGTGTGGTATAAATTCCGTATAGGTATTGTTATTGCTCTTCCTCTTTAAGGAACAAAACAAATTACTTTATTGATTCTATAAATCTAACGCAAGTTTTTTCATAAATCGGTGTTATCTTATTATTAATCTTCAACAGTAATTCACATTTCATTATAATGCACCGCCGTTCGTAAAAAATGAACCGACAATCTTTTTCGTGTGTATCTTTTTACAATGAATCAATGTGTTACCCACTCATGATAACTTTCCATTTATGTATCTCGTCAATGGAACGCCGCCGTCGCGTTAATTTTCTACAAACGGCGCTGCTTGATAATGAAATGTGAATTACGTATTGTTGAAAATTAATAAGAAGACTAGCTGCTGCAGCTCACTGCGCTCGATTGCGCCGCTAGCCGGGAGCTTCCAGTACCCCCAGTACGCGAGTGAATTTTGGCTGTCATTTTTTGTTGGAACCCTATTGCCGTACAGTGCTGCCCTCTATGGGCTCTCTTTGTCAACTGTGTACTCTTACTCACTCTCTCTCGCCATGAAACCGTTCGTTCATCAACTACCGCTGTACGCTTTCATGTCGAATAAACCTGTCGTCTCCAAGCTAGACGCTCTCTTTGTCAACTGTGTACTCTTACTCACTCTCTCTCGCCATGTTACCGTTCGTTCATCAACTACCGCTGTACGCTTTCATGTCGAATAAACCTGTCGTCTCGAAGCTAGACTAATTCTCAAGTTCTTTCACCCGTTTTTTCCTCTAGGAAACCTACAGGTTATGGGTGCCCAGTTACGTTTTAACCTCTTTCTGCGATGATCGGGATATAATGTGTAATGTACGCGAACGAAAGTCTAGATTGTGATTGATTGTGATTGAGCCTAAAAGTGCCGGGACTACCTCGTGCCTCGTGCGTGGATTGTGTCGATTGTCGGATTGAAACAGAGTTAAATTGTGTCGATTGTCGGATTGAAACAGATTGTGCTTGAACGATACGATGGCGGATAATGATACGGAATATAAAAGCAACATACCGCGTATAACTCACAAAAACTATTTCGCATGGGTTCTTCGGGCAAAGGCCGAACTCATTCAAGCAAATGTGTGGTGCGCCATTGAACCAGGCTTCGGTGATGACCTGGAACTTGCTGATCTCAACCTTGACCAGCAACGGCTGAACCGGAAAGCTATCGCTTTCCTGTACAAGAACGTAAGCGATAGTTATCTCAGCGATATACCTGATTGTACGTTGGCGAAAAATGCCTGGAATGTTTTAGCAGAAATCCATACGAAGGTAAGCTTTCTGCGAGGCTTGAGACACTTACGCTCTCTCTTCACTATGTCCTTTAATGACTCCGAAGAAATCCATGAATATGTCGCACGCGTCCAGTGCCAGTATCAACACGCGAAATCTTCTGGCTGGGACTTAACGGATAGGCAACTGGCAGGAATCATTCTTCTGGGGCTTCCGCTGAAGAAATACGAAACCTTGATCGAGCAACTGGGGAAAGAAGAAAACTTGACTGTAAGGTTGGTGAAGTCCGTCCAGACTACTGGAGGAAGGGAACGAGAAACGCAAATCTGACGAGACGGTGGCTTTGGTGAACAAGCGTGGTGGAAATCGTAGACAGAATTCCAGTGGGAACGCCACTAAAAGAAATTAACGAAATGCAGGTGACGGCAAATGTTATGTTTGTGGTGAGTCAGGTCATATTTTCAAATTTTGTCCTCAAATTAAATGTTACAGATGTAAAGAAATGGGTCATTGGGCCAATGATTGTACCACTAGTGCTAAAAATCCCGACGATGAAACTTACTCGTCACAAGACGGCTCCAAAAGAAGGGATAACTGCGATAAAAACAGTAAGAAAAAGTTTGCGTGTATCTCATGCGCGTTAGCATCTCCTAAAATATGTTCAACTGAATGGATAGTAGATTGTGCTGCCACAGACCATATTTGTAATGATAAGAGCATGTTTTCTAACCTGAAGTTGTGTGAGGGTGAAATTTCCATGGGGAAAGGCTCCGCTGAGGTGAAAGGTTATGGAACGGTAGATTTGAGTGCTAACTCAGAGTGTGGAGGGAACGAATTGGCAGTGACGGACGCACTGTACGTTCCTGATTTCAATTTTAATCTCATGTCAACGGTTGAATTGAGTGAGAAAGGTATGAAGGTAATATTAGATCGTGAAACAGCTAAAGCTTATTTGAATGATGAACATGTTTTTACTGTACCCCTGATTGATGGTTTATACAGACTTAAGGTTAAGAACAATGCAAATTTGTCAACAGATAATGTAATCAGTGCTAGTAATTCAACCCCTGAGATTAAAGATGGTACTGCATTAAGAAGTGTTGGAATGTGGCACCAGAGACTTGCTCACCTAAACGTTAAGAATGTGGAAAGAATAAGTGTTCTTAAATCTCAAGGTAAAATGACCAATTGTGATGTGTGTATTCAAGGCAAGATGACAAAGAAAGGTTTCCCCAAACATAGTGAGAGAAAAACTGCAAAACCCCTGGAACTGATACACACTGATTTACTAGGTAAATTACCCTCATCACTTGGAAAGACTCAATATATTATCACCTTTGTAGATGACTATTCCAGGCATCTGACTGTTAAGTTTCTCAAAAGGAAGAGTGAAACGTTCAATGCATTTATAGAATATCAGAGGGAGGTTGAACTGCTGCACGATTCAAAAATTAAAAGTATTCAATCAAATAACGGCGGAGAATATGTAAGCCATGAATTTGATAATTATCTGAAATTGAAAGGTATTATCCATAGGAAGACTGTTCCTTATTGTCCCCCACAAAACGGAATAGCAGAACGCATCAATAGAACTATTCTTAATGCTGTTAGGTGTTGCTTGATTGAATCTGGAATGCCAAATGAATTTTTGGCTGAAGCAGTGAATACTGTCGTGCATGCTAGAAATTTATGTCCTCTCGATCCATTGATTTCAAAACACCAAATGAGTTATGGCTAAATAAGAAACTTAGTTCCGCAGACTATGATTTTTTAAAGGTTTTTGGTTGTCAAGCATGGATGCACGTTCTTGGGTCAAAGCTGCAATCCAGAGCTGTAGAATGTATTTTTCTAGGTTACGAAAAGAATACCAAAGGGTACAGAATATGGTTGCCAAATGAGCGAAAAATTAAAATTGCTCACAATATTACCTTTTGTGAAAATGTTTTTCCTCTTAAACTAAATGCCCCGAAAAGAACAAATAGAATTGTTAGGTTAGAAGATATGGATGAAGATAATGATTTTGTAACAATAAATAATGAACAATCAACAAACAATAATGATAATAATCAATCTACAAACTATGATGAGGATGATTCAAATTCTGAGGTGAAATTTGAACAATTGAGTGAGGATGATGATGACAGTGAGATTCATACTGAACTTAACCCTGATTCACTTTCTGAACCCTCCCCACAGCCAATCAGGAGATCGGAGAGAAGTCGCAAAACCAAAAATTGTCCTTGTGGCTGTGTGAGTGCACTTATCAGTCATGACAATAATCATAAGTTTATGGAATGTCATTTAGAACCCAAAAATGTAACT